AGTTGCTGTCATTCATCCTGAAGCAAAATGTTTCAGCTTGTTCATATCCACTCAATGTCTTAAAATTAAAGTTTTATTTTAGATGTATATATTGACCTATTTCTAAATGAAAAGTTGTTGTTTGGAAGTTAAAAATACACGATTCTGGTAAAAAACAACTTTTTACCTGAATTTTAATCCTTTAATTTGGTTGCCAAGATTGCTTTTCTAAAAATTACGGAAATCGAGCAAATATTCCCCATATTTTCCATGCACCTATAATTATATTTTTCATTTTTTGGAAAAAAGTATAGTCCATGTGTACATGGAGCCCCTTTAGGCCTTAGAAGGGGCTCTAAGATCATGTGATAGATACGGATTTTTGTGAAATTCAAAGAAATAGGGTCTGCAAACAAAAACTGCCACTGCAGGTGATGCCACGTTCTGAATTTCAATATCCACCATCTACCCTTGCAACTTGAATAAGAAGGCATCTGCACCAGCTTGTATGTCTCTCATTATCCTTCCAAAGATGGCCCACTTAATCCCCTGTCTTCCTATTATCACCAACATACCTAGTGAAGCATTTCTTGTTGCCCTGAATGTCCCTGGCCAGGTTTAATTCATCAGGGTTTTAGCTGTCCTGTGAAGGCCTTCTGGCACGTAGAACAGAGATCTGTCTTCTATTGTGTCTTTACCTACAAACTAAAGCCTCTATATTACACTCACACACAGAGACCGCAGCAAGGATGTAGCTGAGACCATGTAGTTGAACAGAAGCATTTTATTCTTTCCTAGTTGCACCCCATCTACCAGACCACAGCTATAATGAAAAAAAAAGATAGTTGTAGTAGGTAACTCCCTTCTGAGGGGAACTGAAGGCCCTATATGCTGACCAGACCCATCCCACAGGGTTAGTCTGCTACAGGTGAGGGATATTATTAGGGCCCAGGTGAGGGATATTAGTAGGAAACTCCCAGAGCTAATTCAGCCCTCTGATTACTATCCACTGCTGGTGGTCCAGGCTGGCAATGACGACATTAATGAAAGAGGTACCAGGCTAATTAAAAACGACTGCAAGGAGTTAGGTCAATTAGTTAATGGGGTAGGAGCACAGGTGGTGTTCGCCTCAGTTCCTGCAGTAGCAGGGATGACTGAGGAGAGGAGTAGGAAAGTCCATCTTATCAATGGGTGGCTAAAGAATTGGTGCCACCAGCAGAATTTTGGGTTTTTCAACCATGGGGCAAACTCTATGGTACCTAGCCTACTAGAATAGGCAGATGGGCTTCATCTATCTAGCAGGGGCAAAAGGACTCTAGCCCTTAAATTGCCAGGGCTGATCAGGAGGGCTTTAAACTAGGTTTGAAGGGGGAAGGGATTGAAACCAGGCTCTCCAGAGATGAGCCTAAGGGTGGAATCCTGAATTAGAAGTAAAATCAGCAGCCCAGCTGAAGTGCAGGTACACCAATGCTCACAGCATGGATAACAAACAAGAGGAGCTGGAAGCCATCGTGCATCAGGAAAGCTATGGTGTAGTTGCCATCACAGAAACGTGGTGGGATGATTCGCATGACTGGAGTGCTGCAATGGGTGGCTACGAGCTCTTCAGAAGGCACAGGTAAGGTAGGACAGGTGGAGGGGTGGCTCTATATGTTAGAGTGTCTCTTGGCTATGTAGAACTTGAAATCAGTAATGGTAAGGTTGAGGTGCCTGTGGATCAGAATCAGGGGGAAGGCCAACAAGGCTGACATCCTGGTGGGAATCTGTTATATACCACCAAACCAGGATGATGAGCGTGATGAATCATTCTACAAGCAGCTGGCAGATGTCTTAAAATCGCCAGCCCCTTATTTTTGTGGGCGACTTTTGCCTGCTGTCTTGTCTACACTCCCCTCTAGCGGTGTTTGTGTAATACAACGTCCCCTCATATTTTGGGGAGATTTCACTTTCTTCATGTGATGTTTGAATTTTCCCTTGTACTTATGATATTTTTTTCTTTTTGAGGTTCACCAAGCAGATGCAGAGTTGTGCTTTGCCGAGAGATCAAGCTGGTTTTGTCTGGCCTTGCAGACTAAGCAGCCTAAACACTGACTAACAAATTACACTGGACCTGGTCTTCTTAAATGCCAGCTGGGAGGCTGTGGTACAAAACCAGGACCTGGAACAACCATCTCACTTATTTGTGATACCACAGCTAAGAGAAACAAGATGAAGCAGCATCTCCAGAGGACACCAGAAATAGCAGCACAGGCGTCTGCCTAGCATTGAACCCAGGTCTTAGTCAGGTTTTAGACTTCAACACACCAGTGCTGACTTGATATCAATGATGATCATCATAATAATGTTTTGCTCAGTCATTGTCCTATCTATCTGTATAATTTCAGCCAGGCCCAAAAGTGATCAAAGTGTAGGCTAAGAAAGTGCTAATTCCAACCAGAGTGTACAGGGAAAGAAGGGTTATTTATGTTATTTATGAGGCTGATGACAACAACCTCTCCAAGGCTTTTGTCTGCTTGATTGTCCCCTGGGGTGTTTCACTGGTCTCAGCTCTGAAAAGGATTTTAAAGAGTGCAGTGACAGGAGGAACACTCTCTGCCTGATAGAATGGAAAACAAGAGTTAATATATTCAGTTGGCTAAATTAAAAAAAAGGAAAATCTGAAGATTATTGAGGGGGACACACATATCTTTGCCAAACACAGAGCTCTAATTCTATTTTTTTTCCTTTTTTCCTGAAAAAAATCAAGATCTTCATGAAAGTAAAGCTGGATACAAAAACCTCAAGAAGTTAAAGATCTTTTACTCAGATTTCAATGTTCCTGTGGCTTCAGGTAAGAAACAGCATTGAAGGTTTTGTTGACTGGCAGAGAAACAGGCCACACTTCCAACATCTTCAGTGCTCAGACGTTAGAAAATTAACTAAAAAATTGGGGTTTGAATGGGTAAGAGTTTGAGAGAAAATTTAAAATTAGTTCTGTGGAAAGAAATGTGTAAGTCTTGCAAAGTTATGCTATCATATGAGGGCAGAAGCTGCCCACATTGTGGGACCAGCCCAGAGCATGGAAGGTTTCTGGGTTCCAGCACACATGGCCGGGGCATGTCCATGAGCTTCCCCCCAGGGCTGTTCTCCATCTGTTTCCCCTCAGCCTGTGTTTGTGCTGGGATTGCCCCTGCCCAGAGGCAGGACCTTGCCCTTGGCCGTGTTGAGCTTCATGAGGTTTGTATGGTCCAACCTCTCCAGTCTGACCAGAACCCTCTGGATGGCATCTCTTCCTTTCAGTGTGCCAAACACACCACTGACTGACTGCCAAACACACCACTGACTGACTGCCCCATGGCTCCCTGGGTCTTCTTTGCTTCTGTTTTTAAACATGAGAGTTATGTTTCCTCTTTTCCAGTCAGTGGGAACTTCACTGGATTGCTACAACCTGTCAAATGTGGCTTAGACACTTATTTCCTGTAGGATGCACAGATGTGTCTCATCAACTCCCATGGAGCTGTGCATCTTCAGGTTCCTTGGATGGTCCTGTACCTGATCCTCTCCTACCACGGGCAATTCCTCATTCTCCCACTCCTGCCTTTGCCTCCTGTGACTCAGACAGTGTGGATGGAGCCCTTGCTGGTGAAGACCAAGGTAAAAAAGCCATGGAGTACCTCATTCTTCTCCAAGTCTCACATAACAAGATCTCTTTCTTTCCAGAGAGGGCCCACATTTTCCCTTCTTTTTCTTTTATTCCCAACATATACATAGAAGCTTTTTTGGTGGTCCTTGGTGTCCCTGGCCAGGTTTAATTTTTTCAGGGCTTTAGCTCTCCTGACTTGATGTCTGCCTGCTCAGACTCTTTTTCTATATTCCTCTCAGGTTACTGTCCCTTGCATCCACCCTTCTGTTGTCTCCCTGTACCAGTTTACCCTTAACTGCAGTATTGTGGTTAATTTGACCACTGATTTTTTTTTTTTTAATGAAATCTAGAAAAATTTTTTCAAAGCCCCAGGATTTTTGGAAAATCAGATTTGTAAGAGAATCTAGAGAAAGACATAGGAGAGGAAAATAAAAAACAGCACTATGACAAGCAGTAGGATTTATCTGAACTTTATTTTTCTGATTAAGCACCTGGCTACTAAAGTCTGATTTCTTAGTGATAAGAAATCAGTACTTTCAAAAGATTACTTATTCTGTCTGTTTTAAACGAATTAAACTCCTTAAATTTGGAATAATTTGTTCTACCTATTGACACAAAAGAAGGATGAGACAACTGCAAAGTGCTTTTGTTTGTGAGTGTTTCAGGGGTTTTTTTTTTGACATGGTAAACATATGTGGAGGATGGTATAGATGTCCTTCATACTTGTTTTCATTGATGGAAGTTGATTGTTTTTCAAATAAGATTTAAAATGTCTTTGAAATGCTACATTTGAATTGTTCTTCAAATAAGAAAAATTTCTGCACAAGAAGTCATGCTACATACTATATATAGTGAATATATAATATACATCAATGCATCAATACTTATTAACAATGGAAATACAGCTATGTCACTGCTGGAGCAATCTGACCAAATACTTTTTTTTTTTTTTTTTTTTTTTTTTCCCCCACAACAGAAAAGAATATGGCAAAATTTGTGACAGCATCTGCTAGAAGAACTTGATTTTTAGTTTGCTTGCACAGACTGGAGACATGTTAGAAAGCACCCTTGTGCCAGAGAAGAAACATGGATATCAGTTCAGTTGCAGGTACATAGAGTAATAATTAATGCGACTCTGAGTATGCAAGAAATCTTTTTATAAAAATCACATGACAGGTCTGGTGATGCAAAGACTTTTTTACTCTTTGCTTCTCTAGTCTGTGAAGAAATTTTCATTTTTTTCATAACTATTGAGGTCTTCATTGCTGGTAGCACTTCTGATTTAACACTAGAACAAAAGTTATGGCAAATAAAGAGTGGAAAAATGAACAGTTGTTACAGAGTTCATCCTCCTAGATTTTGGGAATGGCCCTGAACTGGATTGTCTCTGTCAATCTACTTTGTGACCATAACTGGGAACACCTGCATCGCTGTGCTGGTGGTGGTTAATCAGCACCTCCACACCCCAATGTACTTATTCCTGGGCAATTTGGCCTGCTTGGAAATCTGCTACAGCTCCAGTATCTTGCCAAGGATGGTGCTCCACTATGCAGATGGAGACAGGCGCATTTCAGTCAGGGGGTGTTTCACATAGTTCTATTTCTTCGGCTGCTTGGCAGCTGCAGAGTGTTACCTGCTGGCCGTAATGTCCTATGACTGGTACCTTGTGGTGTGTGAGCCCCTGCATGACCCATCCCGCATGGACACCAAGCTCTGCCTCCGGTTGGGAGCTGCATCCTGGGTCAGTGGCTTTCTATCCAATTCCATACTAATGTTCCTGATCTCGAATTTGGATTTCTGTGGGCCAAATGAAATCGACCATTTTTTCTGCGACTCCTTGCCAGTGATGAAACTCTCTTGCAGTAACACACGGGTGGCAGGATTTGTCACTTCTGTAGTGGCAGGTGTGTGCTCGCTGCCTCCATTCCTGTTGACCTTCTCATCCTATCTCTACATCATTGTCACAGTTGTGAGAATTCCTTCTGCCACTGGAAGGAAAAAGGCCTTTTCCACTTGCTCCTCACATCTTACTGTGGTGATTATATTTTACTGGTCAATATTAGCTGGCTACGTACTCCCTTATCATGATACCCACATATTGCCAAACAAAGTCTTCTCTGCTTTTTACACCATTTTCATTCCCTTGGTCAACCCTCTCATCTACAGTATGAGAAACAAAGAAATAAAGAAAGCTCTGCAGAAGCATATGAGAGAATTGTTTGCTTTCTGTGACAAAAAATAAGGGGTAATGGTCCTTAATGAGTTACAGACACAATTACATTGCATGTGAATGTAGTTAGTTTGAATAAAGCTTGGAAATATATAGTTGTATCACTTAAAAAAATATAAGCAGAGGAACAAAATGGGTAAATAATCTTGCTATCGGGGGAGGGGCCCTGGAGAGAGATAAAGAACATGTGGTGAGCACTGTAAAGGAAGCAAAATAAATCCATGAGTTATTATATACGTATTATTGGATCTTCTTACCAGTCTGCTTGCTTGCTTTTTTTCTCACTACAGCTGAAATTCAGTTCAGAATAAGTTGAAACACAATTTATAGCAAATAGACCATTTTTCATTAATGCTATGTTCAGGTTACTTTTAATTTTCACACCCACAGTGTAGATGTCTACATCCAAGACAGTCATTTGGACCTCCTTGGTTGCAAATGAAGAGAGTGAGAAACATTGCTCGAATATGGTTCCTCTGATCTATTTTGGGGGTTTGGTTTTGGTTAATACAAGCCACAGTCTAGAAGGACTTGGTACCAGATACTAAAGAACTTCTTGGTCATACAGAAGAATATGCACTGTAGACATCCAGTCTAAAATTAATTAAATGCTGTCCAGATTTGGACTGACAATTAAAGGCCTAAAGTAAAGTAAAACCCACACAACAACATTGCAACAACTTTCAAAAAGGAATTGCCTCCCTGCTGATGTTTCATGGAGAGGAAGGGAGATGAAGGGAAAGGACCATCTTTACCAACTTAAACCAAGTTCATTTTGCTTGTGTATTTTTATTATCCTTGATAACAAACAGGGAATAGGAAAGGGTGTTTAGATATCTGAAGGTTATGGAATTGTGATTGTGATGTATGTTGTAATAGTTAAAAATCGTTAAAAAATGAAAGAAACAATGGTCAGCAAAGCCTCACACTTCACTGAAGTGTCCAAACAGTGCAACAAGCAGTGGAGAAGACGCAGCACAGGAACAGGGGTGGTGGTTATAATAAGGAAATAAAGCTTTTAAAAGTGGTTAGAAGAGAAATGGCTAATGGGAAATATTCCTGGGGTCTAGAGGAGGGAATGACTGGAGAGAGGATTAGTAAAACTAGGAAGAAATAGGTACCACTTGCCACACAAAGCTGATGAGACAGGAAAATCTTTCTGTCTGTCCCATAGCACTTATCCTCAAAAGGCCAAATTAACCACACCCAGCACTGTCTCTATTGCTGTGTTTACTGTAATGGATGTCCATTAACACTCAGACATCTGCAACACAAACTCTGCATGCGTGTCACTTACCTGGTTTCCCAAAATACTCAATGGAGAAAGACATTTCTACATTGTGACTACTCTTCACATTTTTGACTTTTGAGGCTGTGGTGAATTACACCTTGGAAGTGTCTGTTCCTTTTCTTTGACAAATACAGATATAGAAATTTAGGACTCAAACCACTTGACAAACATGGGTTTTCAGTGCCATTTGAGACACCAGGAGCATCTTAGTTGGCCTCCAGGAATGTTCCAGGAGTGGTCTTTTGTGGTCTCTATTGCATTATCTATCCTCCAGCAGATATTTTGGATACTCTAGAGTATTTTAAAAGCCACTGGATACGTTAAAAACAATTCAGCCACTGATGTCTGCAGTTAGGCATGATGAATCTGTCTTTGATTTGCCACTGGGTTTCCTTACTTTGCACAAAGCACTTTGCTCAGTGTGGGTCAAGGACACTTCAAAAAATTAGTTTTGGAAACCTCACACTGAATTTCTAACTTTTTGAAGTGCTGTAGTTCACGTAGGATCCATTTCACCTGAATTTCTCTGTTCAACCATAGATTCTTTACCTTGAAGGACATGCTGCTGCTGTCTCAAAAAGAGAGAGCTGCCTTCAGAGGTGATGTACCCATCCTCAGATGTCCAAAACAAAGAGTCTGTTTTGGTTTGGGGTTTCTTTCTCTCCACCAAAACTGACCTGATTAATAATTCAAACAAGGCAGCCAGCAAAGAGTTTTTCTCCTCACATTACCTTCAAATGGAGATTCATACTTTGTTATTTACACTTTAAACTTAAATGTTAACCCAATCATTGTTAACTTTATTGCCACTACTCATATAAGATAAAAAAGCAAAAATATAGTCAACTTCCATTATTTTAAATTGTTTACAGTTTGTTACCAAGGGAGACATTTTGCCTTCTGAGTATAGCTGGTAATGAGTCCAGAGAGGGATTCCTATCTCAGGAAGCAATGTAAGATACCACGAAATTCTGAACGGATGTAGGGGGTTAACAGAGCCACATTAATCTCTGGTATTCGTACCAAGCACTATGTGGTAACTATGGCAAACACTGTTGTGCTAAAAATTAAAAGAATTTTCCTACATCTTCCCCCACTGCTGAGTAGAATCCTTTTTAAAGAAATATGCCTTGTTCGGCAACATCTCCATTGAGCTTTCAGTGGGGGGACGTGGAGCGAGCTCCTGGGAGAAGGGCAAAGCTCCACACCACAGCGTGTTCATCCATTATCGCCGGTTGCGGGGCTGTCGCAGTCACCCTGCTGGGTGTGGGGACCACCGCTGTCCCCGCGGGCCCACCCAGCTGTGCGCCAGGCCTGGTGGAGCGGGAATGAGGATGTCAACAGCACCACTGCTGCTAACAACACTAGAGTGGTGCAGTGGGAGCATGCTGGGCCTATAACCCAGAGGTCAATAGATCGAAACCATCCTCTGCTAGTGGCCATTCTTCTGCTTTGGCCTCTTCTGAGGTCCCCGGAGTCGCAGTGAGCCAGGGTGAGGTGGCATGGGCAATGGAGCTGCAGCCAGTTAGCTCTGCTAATTAGAGTGTGGTGCTTATAACGCCAAGATCCGGGGTTCCGGCCTCTTTGGCTGAGTGGGTATGACTGTTCTTTTCCCTTCTGGCCCTCCCTTTTGTGGCAGTGACGGTACAGGGAGACAGTCTGTAGGATAGAGGTCCTGGCAGAGCTTGTAGTCTCTCCCCCTGCTTTCCCTACTCCTCCTTTTGCAGGTGTTCATTCCTATGCAAGGACAAACTTCACTGGATGTTCGTAGTGGGTGCACCGGCTCCACCAGCCCTGCAGTGATCTGTGACTGACCTCAGCTGTGCCATGGATGGATTCAGGTGTGCAGCACCTGTGCGGCTCAACCTCCATCACCTCTGCAAGGTGGCTGTGGCAGGGTTAGACCCCAGCCAGTGAGGGTTATTGTGACTGTATCTGACCACTGATCAGATTCAGCTGCGGTATAGATGGAGCCCAGGGAGGGAGGGAGGGCAGTAGAGTTGGTTCTCCTTGAAGGATGACAGCTGGGAGCCCTCCCCTTGGGTCAGGACCAAGGTAACAAATTCTGCTTTCCCAGAAGGCTAGCACTGGGATCATGATTTGTGCTTGGCCACCTCTCCTCATGGCCCCTGCCCCCCCCAGCTGCCTGGAGATGCTATGGAATGATGAATGGGAACACCTGAGCTCTAACAAACCCATTTACTTGTGTCAGGTACTTGCACAACCTCCGCTTTTGACCTGGCTCGCAAGGCAAAGGGGGATGTAACACTTTGTAAATGAATAATCACACCAGCACTGGGAGGACTGAACATGGGATTATGCCATGGGAAAGGTCCACCTGATTTTAGATATAGTGCTAAAACCCTGTAAACAGGTACAGGAGGGGAACAGGGCAAGAACAAATGCAGGAACACTTCCTAACAGTCTGTGTGGCCAAAGAAGTTTTGGAAATAAAAAACCAACAGTCCTCTATTACAAATCATGTTTGTTGGTTAATATACACAACACAAGCAGCTTTAACAAACATAGTTTATATACATTGTTAAGTATTAAAATCCATGGAGTCCCAAGGCCTTATTTATTATTTAGGTACTGTTGCCGCCCCCAGTGTTCTTCCCAGAGGCTCCTGCCTTCTGCATCCGGCTCGCACTCGGCTGTCGGGGCATCCTCTGGGCAGATCCTTCTCTGCTGCTCCTTTCTGCCAGAACCTGGGTCCCACTGACAGCAGAGCTGGTTTTATTTCTCCCTGAATAAACAAATACATCCATTAATTTTCACATCCCAACCCAAGCATCAGGCACACAGCAGCTAAGGGCAAGCATTCCTTCAGGAACCATGCAAGAGGCACAATCCTGTTAAATCCCACAAATGTGTTTATCATCCAGCACAGAAAGCGGATTGGTGAATTCAGCCCAACAGGGATCAGGACCACAAAACCCAAATGTGTTGCAGTAGGAGCATTTTTCATTTTCATCAGGTTTAGTCTACAAAGTAACCAGCCACTTGGTTCCATTCATTCCACGAGAGAACAGCAGGGTGGCAAACAGCACTGCTGGGACACCAAGAGCTTCCAACACCTCCAGCTCGGATAAGTCAATGGATGAGTCAGTGCACACCAGTGTCTGAGACTGCCATCACACCATCAGATCACAAACACTTCTCCCCGTGTCACTTCTGTCACTCCATGAGCAGGTTTGGATTTCCTATCATTTTCTAGGATTTTCAGCAGCTCAGACTCCTGCACAGAACTTAGAGATGTTCTTACTGAGTTCAGAAGATGAAAGTTCGCCTCCTGTGGGCACAACTGACCATCTCCAAACGGCAAAGCGAGAGCAAGGAGCAGCAGTGGGTACACAGATAGAAGCTGAGGGAGGCAAGGGGGACACAGCCCATGGTGCTGGATCCAGCAGAGGAGAAAGCAAGGGAATCTCTATGCAGACACAAACGTCAGGAGGGGATAAGGGAGGGACACTGACTTTCCCTGCACTGAAGGAAACTGCTTCAGGTGAGAAGTAGGACTCGCATTAGGAAAGAGAATAAAAGGAATGCGATATGAAGGATCACAGCTTTTACTAAAGACAGTAACCTTCACAAAGGATCATAAAACTTCATAATAGCAAGGAGGAAACAAAACAGGAACATATTGAGCTGTAGTTATATGCACGCAATTAAAATGAAGAGTGACATCTTGGCAATCATTATCAGAGCAACTTCCACAACA